TACTGTGCTCTGTTTCAGTGTGTTCACTGTGCTCTGTTTCAGTGTGTTTACTGCGCTCTGTTTCAGTGTGTTTACTGTGTTCTGTTTCAGTGTGCTTACTGTGCTCTGTTTCAGTGTGTTTACTGCGCTCCGTTTCAGTGTGTTTACTGTGCTCTGTTTCAGTGTGTTTACTGTGCTCTCTGTTTCAGTGTGTTTACTGTGCTCTGTTTCAGTGTGTTTACTGTGCTCTGTTTCAGTGTGTTTACTGCGCTCTGTTTCAGTGTGTTTACTGTGCTCTGTTTCAGTGTGTTTACTGTGCTCTGTTTCAGTGTGTTTACTGTGCTCTGTTTCAGTGTGTTTACTGTGCTCTGTTTCAGTGTGTTTACTGTGCTCTGTTTCAGTGTGTTTACTGTGCTGTTTCTGTGTGTTTACTGTGCTCTGTTTCAGTGTGTTTACTGTGCTCTGTTTCAGTGTGTTTACTGTGCTCTGTTTCAGTGTGTTTGCTGTGCTCTGTTTCAGTGTGTTTACTGTGCTCTGTTTCAGTGTGTTTACTGTGCTCTGTTTCAGTGTGTTTACTGTGCTCTGTTTCAGTGTGTTTACTGTGCTCTGTTTCAGTGTGTTTACTGTGCTCTGTTTCAGTGTGTTTACTGTGCTCTGTTTCAGTGTGTTTACTGTGCTCTGTTTCAGTGTGTTTACTGTGCTCTGTTTCAGTGTGTTTACTGTGCTCTGTTTCAGTGTGTTTACTGTGCTCTGTTACAGTGTGTTTACTGTGCTCTGTTTCAGTGTGTTTACTGTGCTCTGTTTCAGTGTGTTTACTGTGCTCTGTTACAGTGTGTTTACTGAGCTGTGTTTCAGTGTGTTTACTGTGCTCTGTTTCAGTGTGTTTACTGTGCTCTGTTTCAGTGTGTTTACTGTGCTCTGTTTCAGTGTGTTTACTTTGCTCTGTTTCAGTGTGTTCACTGTGCTCTGTTTCAGTGTGTTTACTATGCTGTTTCAGTGTGTTAACTGTGCTCTGTTTCAGTGTGTTTACTGTGCTGTTTCAGTGTGTTTACTGTGCTCTGTTTCAGTGTGTTTACTGTGCTCTGTTTCAGTGTGTTTACTGTGCTCTGTTTCAGTGTGTTTACTGTGCTCTGTTTCAGTGTGTTTTCTGTGCTCTGTTTCAGTGTGTTTACTGTGCTCTATTTCAGTGTGTTTACTGAGCTCTGTTTCGGTGTGTTTACTGTGCTCTGTTTCGGTGTGTTTACTGTGCTCTGTTTCAGTGTGTTTACTGTGCTCTGCTTCAGTGTGTTCACTGTGTTATGTTTCAGTGTGTTTACTGTGCTCTGTTTCGGTGTGTTTACTGTGCTCTGTTTCGGTGTGTTTACTGTGCTCTGTTTCAGTGTGTTTACTGTGCTCTGTTTCAGTGTGTTTACTGTGCTCTGTTTCAGTGTGTTCACTGTGCTCTGTTTCAGTGTGTTTACTGCGCTCTGTTTCAGTGTGTTTACTGTGTTCTGTTTCAGTGTGCTTACTGTGCTCTGTTTCAGTGTGTTTACTGCGCTCCGTTTCAGTGTGTTTACTGTGCTCTGTTTCAGTGTGTTTACTGTGCTCTCTGTTTCAGTGTGTTTACTGTGCTCTGTTTCAGTGTGTTTACTGTGCTCTGTTTCAGTGTGTTTACTGTGCTGTTTCAGTGTGTTTACTGTGCTCTGTTTCAGTGTGTTTACTGTGCTCTGTTTCAGTGTGTTTTCTGTGCTCTGTTTCAGTGTGTTTACTGTGCTCTATTTCAGTGTGTTTACTGAGCTCTGTTTCGGTGTGTTTACTGTGCTCTGTTTCGGTGTGTTTACTGTGCTCTGTTTCGGTGTGTTTACTGTGCTCTGTTTCAGTGTGTTTGCTGTGCTCTGTTTCAGTGTGTTTACTGCGCTCTGTTTCAGTGTGTTTACTGTGTTCTGTTTCAGTGTGTTTACTGTGCTCTGTTTCAGTGTGTTTACTGTGCTGTTTCAGTGTGTTTACTGTGCTCTGTTTCAGTGTGTTTACTGTGCTCTGTTTCAGTGTGTTTACTGTGCTCTATTTCAGTGTGTTTACTGAGCTCTGTTTCGGTGTGTTTACTGTGCTCTGTTTCGGTGTGTTTACTGTGCTCTGTTTCAGTGTGTTTACTGTGCTCTGCTTCAGTGTGTTCACTGTGTTCTGTTTCAGTGTGTTTACTGTGCTCTGTTTCGGTGTGTTTACTGTGCTCTGTTTCGGTGTGTTTACTGTGCTCTGTTTCAGTGTGTTTACTGTGCTCTGTTTCGGTGTGTTTACTGTGCTCTGTTTCGGTGTGTTTACTGTGCTCTGTTTCAGTGTGTTTGCTGTGCTCTGTTTCAGTGTGTTTACTGTGCTCTGTTTCAGTGTGTTTACTGCGCTCTGTTTCAGTGTGTTTACTGTGTTCTGTTTCAGTGTGTTTACTGTGCTCTGTTTCAGTGTGTTTACTGTGCTGTTTCAGTGTGTTTACTGTGCTCTGTTTCAGTGTGTTTACTGTGCTCTGTTTCAGTGTGTTTACTGTGCTCTATTTCAGTGTGTTTACTGAGCTCTGTTTCGGTGTGTTTACTGTGCTCTGTTTCAGTGTGTTTACTGTGCTCTGCTTCAGTGTGTTCACTGTGTTCTGTTTCAGTGTGTTTACTGTGCTCTGTTTCAGTGTGTTTACTGTGCTCTGTTTCAGTGTGTTTACTGTGCTCTGTTTCAGTGTGTTTTCTGTGCTCTGTTTCAGTGTGTTTACTGTGCTCTATTTCAGTGTGTTTACTGAGCTCTGTTTCGGTGTGTTTACTGTGCTCTGTTTCGGTGTGTTTACTGTGCTCTGTTTCGGTGTGTTTACTGTGCTCTGTTTCGGTGTGTTTACTGTGCTCTGTTTCAGTGTGTTTGCTGTGCTCTGTTTCAGTGTGTTTACTGCGCTCTGTTTCAGTGTGTTTACTGTGTTCTGTTTCAGTGTGTTTACTGTGCTCTGTTTCGGTGTGTTTACTGTGCTCTGTTTCGGTGTGTTTACTGTGCTCTGTTTCAGTGTGTTTGCTGTGCTCTGTTTCAGTGTGTTTACTGCGCTCTGTTTCAGTGTGTTTACTGTGTTCTGTTTCAGTGTGTTTACTGTGCTCTGTTTCGGTGTGTTTACTGTGCTCTGTTTCAGTGTGTTTGCTGTGCTCTGTTTCAGTGTGTTTACTGTGCTCTGTTTCAGTGTGTTTACTGCGCTCTGTTTCAGTGTGTTTACTGCGCTCTGTTTCAGTGTGTTTACTGTGTTCTGTTTCAGTGTGTTTACTGTGCTCTGTTTCAGTGTGTTTACTGTGCTCTATTTCAGTGTGTTTACTGAGCTCTGTTTCGGTGTGTTTACTGTGCTCTGTTTCGGTGTGTTTACTGTGCTCTGTTTCAGTGTGTTTACTGTGCTCTGCTTCAGTGTGTTCACTGTGTTCTGTTTCAGTGTGTTTACTGTGCTCTGTTTCGGTGTGTTTACTGTGCTCTGTTTCGGTGTGTTTACTGTGCTCTGTTTCAGTGTGTTCACTGTGTTCTGTTTCAGTGTGTTTACTGTGCTCTGTTTCGGTGTGTTTACTGTGCTCTGTTTCGGTGTGTTTACTGTGCTCTGTTTCAGTGTTTACTGTGCTCTGCTTCAGTGTGTTCACTGTGTTCTGTTTCAGTGTGTTTACTGTGCTCTGTTTCGGTGTGTTTACTGTGCTCTGTTTCGGTGTGTTTACTGTGCTCTGTTTCAGTGTGTTTGCTGTGCTCTGTTTCAGTGTGTTTACTGTGCTCTGTTTCAGTGTGTTTACTGCGCTCTGTTTCAGTGTGTTTACTGTGTTCTGTTTCAGTGTGTTTACTGTGCTCTGTTTCAGTGTGTTTACTGTGCTCTGTTTCAGTGTGTTTGCTGTGCTCTGTTTCAGTGTGTTTACTGTGCTCTGTTTCGGTGTGTTTACTGTGCTCTGTTTCAGTGTGTTTGCTGTGCTCTGTTTCAGTGTGTTTACTGTGCTCTGTTTCAGTGTGTTTACTGTGCTGTTTCAGTGTGTTTACTGTGCTCTGTTTCAGTGTGTTTACTGTGCTCTGTTTCAGTGTGTTTACTGCGCTCTGTTTCAGTGTGTTTACTGTGTTCTGTTTCAGTGTGTTTACTGTGCTCTGTTTCAGTGTGTTTACTGTGCTCTGTTTCAGTGCGTTTACTGTGCCCTTTTTCAGTGTGTTTACTGTGCTCTGTTTCAGTGTGTTTACTGTGCTCTGTTTCAGTGTGTTTACTGTGCTCTGTTTCAGTGTGTTTACTGTGCTCTGTTTCAGTGTGTTTACTGCGCTCTGTTTCAGTGTGTTTACTGTGTTCTGTTTCAGTGTGTTTACTGTGCTCTGTTTCGGTGTGTTTACTGTGCTCTGTTTCAGTGTGTTTACTGCGCTCTGTTTCAGTGTGTTTACTGTGCTCTGTTTCAGTGTGTTTACTGTGCTCTGTTTAGTGTGTTTACTGCGCTCTGTTTCAGTGTGTTTACTGTGTTCTGTTTCAGTGTGTTTACTGTGCTCTGTTTCAGTGTGTTTACTGTGTTCTGTTTCAGTGTGTTTACTGTGTTCTGTTTCAGTGTGCTTACTGTGCTCTGTTTCAGTGTGTTAACTGTGCTCTGTTTCAGTGTGTTTACTGTGCTCTGTTTCAGTGTGTTTACTGTGCTCTGTTTCAGTGTGTTTACTGTGCCCTGTTTCAGTGTGTTTACTGTGCTCTGTTTCAGTGTGTTTACTGTGCTCTGTTTCATTGTGTTTACTGTGCTCTGCTTCAGTGTGTTTACTGTGCTCTGTTTCAGTGTGTTTACTGTGCTCTGTTTCAGTGTGTTTGCTGTGCTCTGTTTCAGTGTGTTTACTGTGCTCTGTTTCAGTGTGTTTGCTGTGCTCTGTTTCAGTGTGTTTACTGTGCTCTGTTTCAGTGTGTTTACTGTGCTCTGTTTCAGTGTGTTTACTGTGCTGCTCACCGTTCATTCCGCACTAATCCAGGACACAATGTTTTTCACCCTGTATTTATTGTGCTCTCGGGTGCTGTGTGTGTGTTCACTGTTCATGGCGTTCTGTTCCAGGGCAGTGAGCTGTTCACTGTTCAAGCTATAGATGGCGACACCAGCGTCGACAACAACATCACATACTCCATTCTCACTGGTAAGGATTTGTCGGAAGCCTACCCTCACATTGCCCCGCATACTTTGTAGAGGCTCTTAGAGCGCCTTCAAGTGTGTGATTATCTGGAAATGTACAATTGATCATAAATCATGCGTCACACGACCCTATAGTATGTTCCACTGATACCAGGTCAGGTCACAGAGGTCAGCTCACTGAGGGTCACAATATGAAAATTGCATGTGATGCATGTGTTATGGTCCATTTTATATGCCAAATGCGATTATGTGGGTCAGACAGCCTTTGCAGCCTTTGGGGTCAGTTTAGATTATGTTCTGGTGAAGGTCAGGTCAAGGTCAGGTCAAATTAAGTCAAATTTCAAAGTAGATGTTTTGCATAAAATGGGTGTCAATTCGATGCAGCTCGTCACGGGGACTTCAATGGTGGTCTTTGTTTTACGCTACGAGGTCTATAATTGTTTAAAAAAAAAATTGAGTTAAAAACTTGACGTCATCAATTTTGAACAGTTTTTTTTCGCTATAACTTGGCCAAAAAAGGAAGTGTCGATCTAAAATTTGGTATGTATTAAGAAGAGCGCAAGATTTATCACATACTAGAGGTACAGGTTTACGCGATAACTGTATGTTTTGATATGTATGATTAACGGATGCATTAGTTTGGGTGTAGAAACTTGCATTTTTATTGGTATGATTTTTGTAGAACTGGGTAACTGCTTTTAATTGAACTGTAAAGTATGATGGTGATGCATGCGAGTTGTTCGAGCCCTTTGTAAGTTAGGATGTTACTGAACGCAACCCTACCCTACCCTACCCTACCCTACCCTACCCTACCCTACCCTACCCCTACACTACCCTACCCTACCGTACCCTACCATACCCTACCCTACCCTACCCCTACACTACCCTACCCTACCCCTACCTTACCCTACCCTACCTTACCACTACCCTACCTACCCTACCCTACCTACCCTACCCTACCCTACCCTACCCTACTCCTACCCTACCCTACCCCACCCTACCTTACCCTACCCTTACCCTACCCTACTCCTACACTACCCTACCCTACCCTACCCTACCCTACCCTACCCTACCCTTACACTACCCTACCCTACCCTACCCTACCCTACCCTTACACTACCCTACCCTACCCTACCCTACCCTACTCCTACCCTACCCTACCCTACTCCTACCCTACCCTACCCTACCCTTACACTACCCTACCCTACCCTACCCTACCCTACCCTACCCTACCCTACCCTACCCTACCATACCCTACCCTTACACTACCCTACCCTACCCTACCCTACCCTACCCTACCCTACCCTACCCTACCCTACCCTACCCTACCTAACTGTACCCTACTTAACTCTACCCTACCCTACACTACCCTACCCTACCCTACAATCCCCTACCCAACCCTACCCTACAATCCCCTACCCTACCCTACCCTACCCCACCCTACAATCCCCTACCCTACCCTACAATCCCCTACCCAACCATACCCTACAATCCCCTACCCTACCCTACCCTACCCTACCCTACACTACACTTCCACCGACAGTCCAAGTTTCAGCTAAATCGGCCCAGAAACGGCTGAGATATTGCAAAAACAAATTAATTGTATTTACTGGCGAATCCCCTTGGCGAGCGGTGCCTTGTGTCGGCCTTCGTTGGCTCTGATGCTTTTCACTCAGTTTTCTAAGCGAACAACTGAGCCTAAAGCACGTGCACTCTGCTCGGCGCTGGTCGCGGCCCCACCACGTGCACACCGCTGAACCCACCCCCTCGAAAATTTAATACGACAAATGAGTGCACGCGTCCGACTTGCAGTGAAAATTTCACCCCCGTAGCCCTTACCGTTCCCGAGCAATAGCGTGTTTTTGCCGATTCTAATGTTAACCCTATGGGCACGCGAGCACGCGCCGCGGGCGCACCCCCGGCCGCATCATGTCCAAAATTTAATACGACCTACGTGTAAAGGTGGCCCACATCGCTGTAAAATTTCACGGCCGTAGGTCAACAGACGCCGCCGCAATAAGCGCTACAAAGTGACTACGTCGCACACGGCGTGGGCGGCGGGGTACTTTTTAGGATTTATAATATAGATATTCCGGTTTTCTCGAAATTCGGAAAAAAATGTTTTTTTTTTGCTTTTTTCCAAAAAAAAAAATATTATTTTTTATTTTTTGTCAAAATCTCACAATTTTGAAAATACGAGATGACAGTTTTATAGCGCCGCCTTTTGTCTACATGACCATATAAAGAACTTTGAAATTGCTTTGTAACTGTAGCTTTTGTGAGCGTTTCAAGATTTCATGTTTTTTGCTCATTTTTGCTCGAACATGACCTCAGTTTGACCTCAATAACTCCTGAACTAAGGTGACCTAAGACTTGAAATTGTATGTGAAGGTGTCAAATTGATGCCCGGGAAGGTACTGAAAATTTGGCGGCGCCTGGCCCCACCGTTTTCTTGCTATTCAGGAAAAACCACAGGGTGCAAATTGCCCCCGCGTGGCAAGGGTTAAATGACAAGCCTTCGCCTTCAAAAGAAGTTTTCCTCTCTGCAACCTCGTTTTGGAGGCCTTATAAGCGTAAACGTGACGCAGCGGCTGCTTAGACTTTGAATGGTCGCTTACAGGGGCGACGGATACGGGGCGGCAGAGGGGGCACTGCCCCTAAGAAACTTGTGGAGGAAGGGTAAACGTATAGTTCTGTCCCCCACAATTTGTGCCCTAAACATGGAGGAAAATTCCATAATCTGATATTGCACCTATGTGCTCATACAATTTGTACATATATACGTTGCCTTTTGAATCTATGTAGATGCTAATCATTTCCTCTTTATAGCAGTTTTTCCTTGGTTTAGACTGATGAGCGGTTGTATCAAAGCCACTCCTCTGATTTTTTTCGAGCTCATCAGTTTCCAGTGCATAAAATAGTGAACGTCGCGGTCGTACACATTGACCACATTGACCAATGCATGGTATGACACCCAAAGGCCAGTCATCGGAGATCTGCTTTGGGCATTCGCAGCTGCCGGACATTGGTCACGTGACCACATTTTCCGCGTGACCTTGAGTTGGCACCAGATTTTGTCGACAGACGTGGCGCAGCTTATTTTGCTGCATTATTTTAGATACTAAATATTTAGGCGTGTGGTGGTAAATGATACCGTGCAAATTATATTGAATCATCGGTGACATAGTTACCATTGATACTTGAATAGCATCAATAAAATGCAATTAATCTATTATTACTCTTCCATTGATTTTATTGTGTTTGCAGGCATAGGTAGAAACTGAAAAGCTGAGCCTGCAGCTTACAGTTGTTCTATACAGTAGCGGCGGAACACCTTCAATTAAGGGGGGGGGGGGCACTGCCGACTTTCGGTCCGATTCTTTCCATGCAACGCCCATAGGGCTAATGTTAAAATGCCAAAATTATAGGGGGCACGGTGCTCCGGTGCCCTCCCCGTTCCGCCGCCTATGGTTGTATAACTGTTAACATAAATCAATGCTACTGAGGGCTGCAAATTTGTTTTTTACCTATCTTTAATAACTGATGCCCTACCTTCATCTACCATTATCTGTAAGAATCTTGCATCAATCATCACCAGACTTTAGTTTTTTTTTTTTTACATACCTACGCCCCAGCCGCGAGAGTGGGCGGGTACGACTCCCTCGCCTTAATTGAGCTAGCCTCGCGGGAAAAACGAGTATGTGTGCCGTTACGGGACCGGGGACGCAGCGATTGATGCACGGTTTAAAAGTCTCAGGTCAACTGATGGCCTCTGAGGGTCAGGTCAAGTGCCCCGAGGGCCAAAATGCGATTTCAGGTTTTGAAAAATAACTTTGTCAAAAAAAACGGCGTAGAGTCGCGATTTTAGTACCATCATGTTTGTCATGCTCCGGTGCGTCAAAATGGTACACTTTTGTTTGGGTTGGGTCAACATAAGGTGTTCACATCGGATCAAAGCCAGGTCAGAGGCACTCAGGTCACGAACTTGGTCGGAGGAGGTTATATCGCATATCATTCGATTCGGTAGGTCTTCCTGAGTCTATTGGCGACTTTTCCGACTTGCCAGCTCAATTTTATCAGGAGTTATTGGCGAAAAAACTTGTGACATTTGTGACGTCATGAATGACATCACGCTAGGTTAAAGATGCAAAAGTGAAGCATTGGACATTGCAAGAATTGCATGAAATTGCGATTCCATGTGCTTGAGCCAGTGGCGCGGGAACCGGGGGGGCTAGGGGGGGCTGAGCCCCTCCAACTTTTCGGCTGGGGGGGCTCGTAATGTATTTGAGCCCCCCCAGCTGGAGGAATCGAAATCGGAAATCTACCAACACAATTTCATAGATTCATACATAGGCGCGGGAACCGGGGGAGAGGACAGTGGGGGAAGCTTGCCCTCACAACTCTGGGGCCGTGGGGGCGGTGCCTAACAACTTTTCATGAGGCCAGGAACCGTTGGGGCAGCTTGTCCTCCCCAAATTAGGGGTTGTGAGTCACAAAGGAAGAAAGCATGTGAGTGAAAAATCTACCTATTTTACTGACTCGGCAACTCATTTGGCAGCTTAAAACCTTTATTCCAGGTTGCCAAAACGGTAGTCTCTTCACTCAGCTGAGACGGAATACCTCACTTTTTTGCAAATATTTTCTTCTTTTTTTTCGTTGAAAAGGCCAAGGTCTGAAAAATAAGTGGCCTAAAACCGATGAGAAAACTAGATTTGGGGGTACCCTAGGTTGATCTCTATGATGGTTCAGCCCCCCCAGTCTGGAAGAAGTTCCCGCGCCACTGGCTTGAGCTAGGTTTAGATCATTCTCGGCGTCAAAATTACAGTTTCCATATTTTCCCCATTGACTTGCAATGGTGACGTCGCGCGATCGGCCTGACCTCATGTGACCTCTAGGAGAAATCCGAGATATACAAGTTTTGAGACTCCTAGAGGATACTAGGTCCTGTAAGTATCATCTCGCTGTGACAGCTCCTCTGGCACCGAGGGCATTGCGAAGTTTCGG